CGACTATAATATTTTTTAATTATCTAACTTACGGACTAATTATATTTTTAATTTTCATACCCCGTCATCATCCCCATTGTAGTGTTTATAGAGTTCTCTGTTTGACATTATTAATTATATATTGTTATTATTATTACTGTCACTAATGGTATCTTCTTTCAAAGAAACACTTGATACAAAATTTTCTGTAAACAAACCACACCGCGGAAACATCTCCAATCGAATTGGCTAATATCAAACGAAATTCTGCGGGAAACCCAGTCAATTGTAACACGGTAATATAACCCTTATAACTTCGTAAGCTATAAGGCTGATTATCCTGTCAATCAACATTAAATTGCGCATAATTTTGTGAAACCTAACCTTACTGTATTACGCGAATTGTATTGCCAACTTGAGAATTAAATTTGAAACCAACATTTGTAGTAATTAATGTAACTAAACTATTGAGGACTCGTGTAGCAATGAGATGAACTTGAACCTTTTAAACTGTCAAACACCGCGAGGACACCGGTGACCGCAACCTATTGTTCTTTAATTGTGTCTATAATGACGGTACTCAAAGGGTCAAATTGAGATCTCCAACCCAATGGGGGCTAACGTTTTTTTGTCCAATCATAGCAGCTGTCAAATATTAAACGTCAAATGATATGACACTGGCTAATTCCCTATTAGACGAAGAACGAGAGGTGCACACTAGCGACATCTTGTGAGCAAACATATGGTAGGCCTATTGCCAAGTGTGGTGATTTTGGTTAGTTTTGTAGTATTTGGTTAGTATGGCTGATAGTTTAGTAGTGCACTGTCATTGACTGGTGATAACGATGGAGCTAGTAGTAAATGGTTTCGTCAGTCATTGATTCTCTCTTAATTAATGATTCGTTATTTATGCATAAAAAAGGAAGAAATGTCTCACTAATGTCGTGGTGGCCCGAAGGTTTAAGACGCCCGCTTCTCATGCATGAGTCCGGGTTCGACCCTACCAACGGCAAGTACCAATGTGACTTTTTCCGTGTTATATGTACATACTTTCTAAGAATATTCTGAACACCAAAGACTAACGGTGAAGGAAAACATCGTGAGGAAACCTGGACTTATAATTTGTGATTATAAGTTTAAAACCGCCAACCTGCATTGAGCAAGCGTGGTGATTAATGCTCGAACCTTCTCCGTGTAAGAAGAGGCTTTGCTCAGCAGTGTGGCATAGGCTGTTGATGTGATGTATGATGTGATGTCTAACTTGTTTGTTCAGTGACTACCTAGATGTAGACACCACGGTTCATCTCCAAGTTGTGATCAAGCATAATTAAGAATTTCGAATCTTTTTTAACACAAATAACGTATAGCCTAAATTAGCGACAGCAGCCTATCGCTAAGCTCACTACCTACACACATTTTAACTGAAAAAAGGAAAATAATAAACATAAAGAAATAACAATTACCAGGAACAAATCTGCAAACTCAGTTAACGAACAAAAGGTATGACGTCACATATATGATCGAAAACTGACGATACTCGCTACCAATCTCAGCTGTTGACTGTTCACCCAAATTTAGCTAGACAGACTAATTAACCCTTATGTAAATGTAAATAAAGGCGAGACTGCCATTAACTGAGCATGTAAACACACCCACATTACTCAACTAGACTCGTTTTGTATTGGTCTGGTCACTAAATGAACTAGATCTAAGCTAGACTTCTAGCCTACCTACTAAAATTACCTCATTAGTCATTGCTGAAGTAATAAACCAAATTAAAATCAGTTCGTTTAGTTATTCTTTAAAATATTCCAAAAAAAATTATAGTCAATATCAGGGTGCTTACTCTTGAATTTGGATTCAAGAGTAAGCACCCTGATATTGACTGATATCCGATCGATCGACATTGGTATTGTGAAATTTCGTACTCTTGAGTTGCAACACTAGCGCCCATAGCGTCCGTATTGCGTGGATATTGAATGAACTAAATGGTATTGAGTTTGGCTTTATTTTCCGTACTCTAAATACTATTTTGATAGCTACGATAGGGGTTGTATAGTTTTGACATTGAATAATTATTGAGAGTTTATTGGATTGAAATTGCATTAGCATTGAGATTGGTTTCAAGAGTAAGCACCCAGTTCAGCTCTAGCTGCCAAGGAATACAATTTATCTCAAATACGAATATATTTATTTATTTATTCTTTTATGTACACAATTTTGTTATTGCACATAAGGCGAACTTAATGCCATATGGCATTCCCTACCAGTCAACCTCAGGGTTTAAGTAGAAAATCTGCGAAAAATAAAGTACAGAGAATAAACTAACAGCAAAGGGAGAGAGAAAAAAAGGCAAATATTAAATAATATAGCTATACATATATATTAATAGTAAATATAAAAACGTATGAAACAATCCCCAATATTATGAAAACCTTGTTTTAAAGTCAGTCTTAAAAATTCACAAGTTGCCGTCACTAAAACAATTGTAATTTAGTTAGTAATTCATGATTAGTTATTAGTTTTGTAATTACTTTTAAAAAAATATGATAGACATGAAAATCACACTAATATTATAAATGTCAGTTTCTTTGGGTGGATGTTTGTCCGTCTATCACGCGATACTTTGATGAAGTTTGTATACAGGCAGGGTATGGGCTGACTTAGGTGATAGATACTTTTTATCCCGATTAAATACTCCCATGGGATAAAACAGGAATCATATTCTACGCGAACGAAGTCCCGAGCAACAGCTAGGACAAAATAAAATATAAACCGTATTTATAACATAACATAACATCACGCCTTTTATCCCCGAAGGGGTAGGCAGAGGTGCACATTATGCTGTACAATGTAACACCCACTTTTCACTATTTATGTTATGTTATGAGTCCCATGTAATAGGGGGTGAGCCTATTGCCATATACCGGGCACAATTCCAGACTCCGTACTACTACTGAGTTTTTTTTTTTAAATCCCAGTGTTACTTTGCCCGACCCGGGAATCGAACCCGAAACCCCTTGCCCGGCAGTCGCACTTGCGACCACTCGGCCAACGAGGCCGTCATTAAACCGTATTTATAAAGGTACGTTATACATTTCAACGTGAAAACTCAATGTTTTGAAAACTTTTATTTTTAGGTACACGTTTGCAATTTAATTATACTTTAATTAGCCAAAGAATGAAAAATAAATATTTTACTTCTCTGTCTAATTTTCTCATTTTCAATTTGAATTATAACAAGATTTTTCTGGAAAACCTTTTTAAATAGAAAAAAATACTTATTAAAAACAAGATTTTATTTTTTTTCTAACACCTATACAGAAAATCCATGTTGTGATTTATAATCCCAACTAAAAATCCTATCATTTCCACTAAATTAATAAAAATTTTGATTCCAAAACACATCTTAAGAAGTGACCAACCTAAGATCTACAATTTTATTAATTACATGAAACATACATACATCCATCCTGTTTAGCCTTTCAAATAAATACCGTTGTTTATATTACGCTTTAAAACACAAAACAGAATTATGTATAAACCTTATTAAAATTTAATAACATCGATTCAACTGACGTCGCCTTTCAGGCAGTTTTAATTTAAAATAAAATAAAACGAATGTCAAATGGACGTCCACAGACAATAGAGGTTCTGTCGGACCGGAAGAAAGGCCATCTTTGAAACGGATATTGAATTCAATATACTAATTAGTTTTCATTCCTGTATTTATTTTTCTCCATTCATATATTTCCTCTTTTATTTATCAAGGCTATACGATCTTTAGTATTTACAAAACTATTCGATCCAAATGGTTTTCGCGTCAGTGGGTAATAATTCCTTTGAAAATGGAAACAATATTAATTCTGACAGTCCTTTTTCATTTTTCAACAGTATGTATCTGTCTCATTATTATACATCCAATGTTACAGGGGAATTTAAACCTAAAATTCAAAACCCTTTAGTTTAAAATCCCGACAACAGAGTTACACTTCTTCACCCATTTGCTACACAATTAAGCAGAGAACTTTGTGTTTACGACGACCAGAACAACGAGACGGTCTACAAACACACAACCAAACAAACAGACTGTTATATCTACAGTTAGTATCTTATACACAACACATACACGTCCGAGAAACTCCGAGACTCCATTTTATTACGGATAAATCTTAATTGAAAATCCGACTCGACGATAGGATAGTTTACCTTCTGAAGAACAAATCACTCTTAGCACTTTAACAACAAGAAATCACACAACACCAACAAAACAATTTATAAAATAATAAAAAGACACTCGAAAATGTAACACGAAATAAATGAATAAAACACACAATCGATAGACAAAAAACAACGATAAATAAAATACATTAAAGAACAAAATAATAAGTATAAAAAAATGACCTTTATTGCGTACACCAAAGAGTGCTACAAAATTTTCTTTAGGAGCCGTTAAAAGTTTAGTAGCAATACTAGTGGGAGTAATAAATATTTCAGTACCAATTCGAGTATATCTTGTGTGGTTTTTATCAAGCAACTGTCAGTTATGTTCGTTATAGTGTCTCTGACGGATAAACCTACACAACGCTACGATAGTCGGATCCGGTGATAAAATAAATATGCAATATAATGTAATAAATAAATTGATGTGTTTATTTTATTTTTTGTTATCTTTTCGCAATCCGTGTTTTGGTTGTTGTCATCGGAATATGATTTTTTAAGTCGTTAGACGGTATTTTTTACGTGTTAATACGTATCATTAATTTTTTTTCTTCTTTAAAAAATACTTAAAATGATGTCAAAGAAATAAGTAACTCGCGCATTTTATCGTCAAGTCAATTTTTATTTTAAATCTATTCACTTTTAAAATCTTTCCGTTTAATCAAATAATATTTTGTTTAAAACGTATGTAAATTGTCTCCAAAAAAAAGAAAATCCACGATCCTAAAAAAAATTCCACATTCCACAAAAAATAAAATAAAATAGATAATAAAAAATAAAAAAAAGTAATAAGAACTAACCTTCAACAGCTCTAGCTTCCCTGGAATCGTCGACGATCAACAGGTGGGGACGGCGCGGTCGCTCGAGCCCTTGCTCGGCGGGTGAAGCGGTCGTAGCGACTTGGGGAACGCCCATCGCGGCCGACGGTCTGGGCGCGAATGTGCCTCGGAAACAATCGGGGGCCACCTATACGCAGGTGTGGGCTGCAGTTCGAGGGTTGCGCTTTGTAACTTCGATTGTACAGTCAGGCAACTTATTTTTTTACGTATTAGGCTTCATGCATTTATTGCACAATAGAAGGACTTAATAGTAGGCATTTTCTACCAGTCTGACCTTTGAATGATGCAGAGAAAAATAAACGCTGTGTGCACGGAGCAAACTAAAAAAGTTTTAGCTGCAAAATTGATTCAGTACCTACAGATACTGTAACTCTTTTATACTAAATTGTATGCTTTTGAATGAAGGCGTATATTTTGTAACCGTAGATTGGTCGAATCAGTAGCCAGACAATGTTTACTGTCGCTGTAGCTAATCAATCTTTATATTACTACCTGCATAGGATAACTTTGTGGACTGTACCTGCCTGACAGCTACACGATCATGTCGCTTATTGCGTAGTTACTAAACCCCATTTTTCTTTATTCGGAAAACGTTGTGTATCGATGATAATACGGGGAATTGTTTTTCAAGGTCATCAGCCAATTTAATGTTTTGTTGTAGTATCTTGAATTTTGCACGTGTACTTTAATTTTGCGCGTGTCTTCCTTAATTATTGGGTAATCTCTCAAAGCATAGAGATTGATTTGCTAGAGGTATATTTTGGGCGTATTTTTGAAAGCCCTATTCTGTATTTATTGTTAAGATCTTATTGTTTGTTATTTTAACTCTTATAGATATAAAGTTTAGTTTCAGAGATTAATTAGTAACTGATCTTTGATTACTAATTAGGTATTTCTTTTTTGTTTCTTAAATAACGGTAAGTATTCCGTTGTATTTTATTTTTTTAGAAACTACTCCACACTAGAATTTTCTCCTGTGTCGTGGGTGCGTTTACAAACATACAAGTTCACATACACATGACACCCAGACCCGAAACAACAATTTGTGGATCACACAACGAGTTGCTCCGTGCGGGAACGGACCCACGACACGTTGCGTGGCAGCCGGTAGCCCAGCCACCGCACCAACCGCCTTGTGATTTATTTATTTATTTATTTCAATTAAATAGTATAACATTACAGTCATAGCCAAGGCGTATGATATCTGTGTACTTGTGGGTGTGTCTCACAATACTATTAGATAGATCTCGTGCTTTTTCCACAGAATAAAGCGAGAGAAGTTTTGGAAGACTAGTTTCTTGATTGTCATGCTGATATTTATTTTTTTAAGTAACAAAATATACCATGCCAATGTGAAACTTTCCACCTGCATGAGATTATGATAACTAAAGGTAAGTTCAAGGTTACGACTTTGACTTTGACGATGTTTTAGTTTTCTTTGCATGTCAGAATTCTCTTATAAATTATATAAACATCCAATTAAACATGGTGGAGTACAATACAAAGCTTTTATAAATAATTTACAAGTAATTTTACATTTTGACAAATAACTGAAATTACATAGGGCCACTTGCTCTTTAAATTATTAAATAAGGAGTAATGACCTTGGTTTCAATTCGACGCCACATAATTGTAGAAAAGAATAACGTTTTAAAGAAATCTTTTTTTAAATATTAAAGTGTAAGGACTGAAATAAGTTTTTCATTTAAATATATGTACGTCAATGGGGTAGGCAGAGACTATGGAACGCCAATTGCCTTGCTGGCCGGGGGTCGCAAGTGCGATTACCGAGCAAGGAGTCTCGGGTTCAATTCCCAAGTCGGGAATCGACTTCAGTAGTAACACGGAGTCCGGAATTGTGCTCGGTATATGGCAATAGGCTCACCCCCTATTACATGGGACTCACAACATAAATAGTGATAAGTAAGTGTTACATTGTACAGTGGCATTAACTGCCGTAATGTGCACCTCTGCCTACCCCTTCGGTGACAGAAGGCTGGGTGTTATATTATTTATTTACACACTTTATTGTACACCATAAAAACATACATAGAAAAATAATCATAAAAATAATGTGTACAATGGGCGGTCTTATCGCAGAATGCGATTTCTTACAGACAACCTTTTTGGTATTATGTAATCTAGCTACTATTTTAACTATGATTTTCCTTACAAAAACTAGTTATACAACAACTACAGACCCACCCTTCAGGGAGTACCAAACATGTTGCTACGGTACGTTATGTTATTGAACGAACTATTATAAAATATAATATAATTTAAACATACTAACTAGACACGTAACAGCTGTCTCAAGGTCATTTAAATATTAAATAGCTGTTAAACGAGAGTTTTTTATGTAAACTTAATGTTAAAACAATTTTGAGAATAAATTTTAACATAACATTACATGTACATCTTGTCTTGTTATCGAGAGGACACCAGAGTTAAAACTTGTAGTCTGTAGTAGGTACACTCGTTTGTGGCCAGTTATGTAATTTATGTATTAAATAACATAACATAACATAACATCACGCCTTTTAACCCCGAAGGGGTAGGCAGAGGTGCACATTATACCACTGTACAATGTAACACCCACTTTTCACTATTTATGTTATGAGTCCCATGTAATAGGAGGTGAGCCTATTGCCATATACCGGGCGCAATTTCAGACTCCGTGCTAATACTGAGGATATTTAAATAACCCAGTAATACTGTGCCCGACCCGGGAATCGAACTCGAGACCCCTTGCTCGGCAGTTGCACTTACGACCACTCGGCCAACGAGGCAATGTATTAAATAAACAACTAATAAGTGCCCACTGATGGGTGAAGCTTCTTCTCATATGGAAAATTTTCAGCATTAATAAAGAATATACATCTTGTTCATATGTCTAGTCTTAACAATAGAATCGGCGTCGCCCATGGACACCTGGAACACCAGAGGCGTTATAGTACGTTACCGGCCTTTTGGCAATTGAGAATTAGAAGATTGTAAAGGATTCGGAGATTTGGGAGACTGGGAAGAGGGCGTAATTGGGCCTCCAATAACTTCACTCACACGACGAAGTACAACGCAAGCGTTGTCTCACCTCTGTTTTCTGTGAGGCCATGCCATCACTCCCATTCGTGCAAAAGCATGGCTCTCCCACACTTAAAATAATGATACATTAGAATGAAAAAATGTGTAAAATAATCATATGTCACTTAAACAAGTTTTCCTTGCACGTGTCACGTAAATTGTAGTAGTATACTTATAACCTTTTAGCGCCCATCTGAGTGCAAGCTAAGTTCAATTAAGCCGTAATGTATCTGAGAATTACGTATCGAATGCACTTTGAAGCTTGAATATTAAACAGCTATGTGGGTTATTGTTTATTCAATTAGTTATTCCCTGTTAAAAGCTTGAATGGAAAGGTGTAATTTTATTGTTATTGCATTTTCTAAACAACTGTATATTATTCTATCTCCTGTATTATACGAATAATAAATCTTTTTCCAATAAACAAGGTTTGATCCCATATATTTGTAAAATTTTTATGGTAACTTGTAAATTATTCATGTTTTCATCCCATAGTCTTGAGGATTTTTAAAAAGAAAAATACAGCAAACAGACAAATTCACGTTTTAGACTCAAACTTGATTCCACCTACTCAGCAGTGAAATTTATTACGACCAGTAAAGAAATAAGTTATCTGTAGAAATAAAAATGAATTTCATCAGTCTCGCTTAAACTCAAGAACGGTCGAACCGATTTGGCTTATTTTGGTATTGAAATGTTAATGGAAGTCCAAAAAACTCCGTGAGTGTTACATGACTCATTTCTCACCTTTTAAACCTTTATATATATTTATAAAGGATTTTTGAGGCGGTTCGAAGTTTGCCGGGTCAGCTAGTTATTTATAATTTTGTTCAAGCCTTTTATAGAAGTGTACAAAGAAACAAACGTAAACAAAGAAAAGTTAACGAGAAACTTCATCACTACTCTTTACAACATTCATTTATAAAAAGTTTGCATTCGAGTATTCGTCGATCCCCAATTTCAATATTCGTTTGACATTTTTGAGATACAAGTAATTTAGAGACCAACGAAAAAGTTTGGTATGCACACAAGAAAATAATCTTTTTACACTCAGCAGACAGTATTAAAAAGTTTTTTAACAAGACTTGACTACAAAACAGTCCTTTGTGTTGAGAAAATAAATAAGTACGTGCAAATCTTCTGTAAAATATTTAATATTTTATAGTCAGTAGTCGTGACTTGGAGATGTTTAATGGCACCAATTTTCTTAACTTTTGAAATATCAGTCTGTCACTTACTCATGGATTTTAAAACATTATACCAAAATTATAATTAGGTCATCATCATCATCATCATAATCATATCAGCTAGAAGACGTCCACTGCTGAATATAGGTCTCCCCAATGACTTCCAGATAGGCCGGTTGGAATCGATCTGCATCAAGTGGCTCCAGCAGTGGTATAATTAGGTATTATGGACATATTGTTTAATGTAATAGAAAGTCATCGTAAAATTGTGTTACTAAGGGCAAAACTATAGAATCATTCCACTGATTTTACGAATTTTCCTTTTGTAATATTTCTTATTCTTAAAAGAACGTTCTTTTAAAAGATAAGCAAAAAGGATATCACTAGAAAAGTTAAAAAGTTCTGGACAAGTTACTAGTACATTATAAAATAATGCCTGCCGACTGCCGAGCAAGGGGTCTCGGATCCGATTCCCGGATCGAGTATCTATTACAGGGTATTACGGAGTCTGGAATTCGGCCCGGTATATGGCAATAGGCTCACCCCATATTACATGGGACTGATAACATATATAGTGAAAAGTGTCGCATTGTACAGTAGCATTAAGTGCCGTAATGTGCACCTCTGGCTACCCCTTCGGGGATCAAAGGCGTCATGTTATATTATGTTATAAAACAATTAGATATGATAACTAATCAAGAGTACTCTAACTACAACACTTATACGTAATCATTACATTCAATTCATTTATGTTACCTTACCTATGTTATTAAATTACCAAGAAATACTATAATTGGCCCGAATAATA